GAAGGAGGAGACGGAGCTGGGAGAGCAGGGCCTGTTGCTAACGGCGAGCCTAAAAGGCTATGAACCCCACAGATCCTCGCTTTGCCAAAAATTTTTTAAAAAAATCCCCTGTTGATGGTGAACATCTCTCTGGCTTCCCCGCCGGCACACCCGGCAGCTTTGCGGCCGTGCAGGCCGCGCCGGTGGCAGCGCTCTGGCCCCCCGCCTGGTGAGCACCGGTTCAGAAATGCCAGGCCTTGTTTGGGGATAAGCCGCCTTCAGACCGCTGATGGGCAGCCTGGCACTAACCTAAGTCCAGCCGCAGCGTACGTCAGTGATAGAAAGCTTCATTATGTCAATTAATTTTGAGCTTAATAAAGGTAGAGACTCTTGCTTACAGTCCACGTAAATTCAGGGACACGATAATAAAAGTGTTGCTTGCCTGGCTGATAGGTACTGACAATTTTGGATGCTAGTTTGATTTGCAGTACTCACTTGTGCCTTTTAAGTTGGTTTTTTTGCTGATATGTAGGAGAGAAAACTAGGAGAAAATTTTACATCCAAAGAGAACAGGATGCTGTCGTACTGTCCTATATCCCTGTCATCTCCCGTTCTATAATTTTGAATATCTTTTTAAGTGTAGGGTGTTTGGAAGTATGTTATTTTATAGGTACTTACTAACTGCTACACTTCAACTAGAACTGGTTAAGTTTTCAGTCTGACTCCCTTTTCTAATTCGCAGGTTTTTTCTTTGCCCATGATGACATTTTAAAACTATGTTTGGATAGTGAAAAGATTTGCTAGAGAACATGAGCACTGCAGATAGTGTTTAAAGATATGCTAGAGCAGAGTGAGCATAATGCTAATTTTCCATGACAACTAACTTGTCCAAACAAGCAGTGGATAACTGCCTGGACTTGTCCGTTGGCCAAATATAGATTCTCAGCAACCATGGCACCTTGTAAAAATTTCAGCAATGGTTTAAACCTAGATATTTGTGTGATGACAAGTTGTCGAGATGAGTTTGTTATCCCTCTAGAGCATAAAGCTCAAGGTCTGGTGAGGGACAGCTGAGAAGCTGCCAGAATTTTGCAAAGCGTGCTAACCTCCTGTTCGCACCAGCATTTAAAGGGAAACAGAAGTCTGGTTTAAGTAAGTAAGTGGAATGTCCTGCCACCAGCAAAGTCAGCTATCTGCTCATTTCCACCCAGCACCCCAATTACTGAGATCCTTAGGTAGCTACTAGCTTCATCAGTAGGAGCAAATTAGATCTACACAAAAATGCAAGAGGATAGAACAGAATGGCTACATGCAGTTGATGTAACACTGCCGAGCAGTATTACCGATGCTCAATCTTGTCCTGATGTGGCACGAGAACTATTTAATTCCTATACAAAATGCATTTTACTGAACTGAAGCAAAACAAAAATAGAGTGCTTATGTAGTTCTCCCCAAACTATATCACATTATTGAGCCTTGTCTTAAGCACGGTATCATTTTGCTAAGGCCATGTGGAAATTAAGGTGCTTTTTAAATCAGCAATAAATTTTCTACAGCCCAAGACTTACCAAACTGGTAACTATGACTTTCTTTTTCCACTTCTCAACCAATAAGCATCTTGTGACCAATGACTTTGAGATTAAACTGGGATTCTTTAAATAATAACTTCCCTTACAGATTCATTAACTGCTAAGGATAAAAAAAAAAGCCCAGACCATTGTTTCTGTCTAGAATTTTTATCAGTCTTCAAGGACAATCTTATGTCTTTTCTCAGACGGAGTAATCTCAAGTTAAGGGAAGGCTGCGAGTAGGTAAAACATGCTGTCTGTGCTTGCTTAGGGAGATAGGGGGATATTTTCCGACATGCAGTGCCGCACCGCTTCTGTTTGTCTCTAGTTTGTCAGTAAGGCAGCATATGCTGTGTCATCAATGATTTTCTTAGGCTTGATAATTCTGGAAAAATATAATTTAAAAGTTTTACTTGGAGGGTGAATAATAAGCTTGTATAGTTATGAGAGCTGACTCCCCCACTATTTCAAGGTCATAAAAAGAAAATGAGACATCGCTATGGCAAGACCCCCGCCTATGTATTTTATTTATAACGCTACAAAAAATATCTGGAGCAGATGTAGCCCAACTGCCTTAACTGGAGATACTTTACATCGTGGTTAACTAACATGGTATTAGACCCTTTTTAATATAAATTCAGATTCTAACTGTAGATATTTCATTGTTTAATGCTTGCAAGATGAATTCTTTTTTTGAGATGGATCTAGTCTACCTATAGGCGCATACGGCAGAGGAAAGATGGGTCGCTGTGCCACAGGGGTGCCCAACAATTTCAGGTTTTTGTTCCTCACCGTAATTTTTTTTTTTTTTTTTACATGTCCTACTTACCCGTTCCTGGCTGCTGCCTAGTCAGCACCCAGCACATATGTGAAATGGTCTGAAGTTCCCAGATGCTGATCAGAGGCACAAGTGGCCAGGGTTTGTCAGGTCTCAGCAAAACCCCATTTGCTGCTGCTTGGCTATCAGATGAGTTATCCTCACGTGCTGTCTATCAACTGCTCCCAGACAAAAAAACCCCCACAAATTACAAAAAAAAAAAAAAGCCTCTGGGGCCTTACATTGTGCTGATGTATCCGTTCCGAAGCCTTAGACTGCATCTCTGTTAGTGTGAGACAGAGCTCTGATCAGTCACGTGCGGCAGATTGTCAGGCACGGCAAGATAAAAGGACAGAGGAAAAGGGACGCTGAAATGCAGCTGGGGCATGTGTGGCTTAACGGGGCTTTCTGCCAGGCCTGTCTGCTGCAGCCCTGACCCCACATGCCAGACAGTGGGTCAGTACACTTCTGTAGAAATACCAGAGAAAGAATTTTGTTGTTTTCTCGACGTTCCCATTTTGTTGTGTAAGAAAAAGCACACGGGTAAGAAATCCTCATGCCAGTAATAGCATATTTGGTTCAGAGAACTTCGTAAGCTGAGACCTATCCCCATGGAGAGGTCTGTCAGTACGTGTAGTACCACCACCGGAAACTTCTTACCATAAACGACACCCAAGTTCTGCTAAATGAAAAGAGGACGCAGCCTTCTTGGAGGCAATTTTGAACAGACAGTAATGGCAGGCAGGAATCGAGAGCAAGCCTCGTAGCAGCAGTGGGAGCGCAAAGACCACACGCCATGCTATTGCAGCTACTTCATAGGGAACACTAAGCTGTACTTTGCTGTTAAACTTGCTGGTTTTTGGTGCGCAGGAGCTGCGGTTTTGAGCTGCCCAGGGCTGCGCTGCCCTTCCTGACAATCCCAGCTGCTCTGCGGACTGGGTGGCACGGCAGGCGTTCTGCAGCTCCACCCGCGTCTGCACCCTGGGCTCAAACACCCGCAGTATTTTATGGGTGGTCTGGATATGAGATCGGCAGTTCCCGACTGTCGTGGTTTAACCCGGCTGGCAACTCAGCACCACGCAG